GGTTTAAGTTGATGAAATATCAATGTTTTACTTGTCTGAATCATATTTGCAAATGTTTTGAACTTGAAGCAATTCATTTTTTCTTTCAGTTATGTTTTAAATAAGTGCTCATCAGATAATTAAATGGGTCATGAAATGTTTTCTTTTCTAATCTAACCTTCTGGAGGGCAGACCATAGATTCTCTAAACTTTTAGGAACTACTGTAACAGTTTCCGCCCGTCTAGTACAGAGATTAGAAGAAGAAATTATCAAGGAAAGTGTTAGTTTCAGAACTCGCTGTGCCCTCCTGAAACAAAACAAAGATTATTGTTGCTGATGTGTGGTTCAGAACAAAACATTTCATAATCTATTTAAATTATCTGATGAGCACTTATTTAAAACATAACTGAAAGAAAAATGAATTGCTTCAAGTTCAAAACATTTGCAAATATGATTCAGACAAGTAAAACATTGATATTTCATCAACTTAAACCATAAAGATTATTTTAGTTAAATAAGAATTTTTCCTACAGAAAAAAACATACATTGCTGAAATCATACTGAGGGAGAAAAGAGATCTGTCCTCTCTTCTCCTGTAACTTTGATAAACATTCTCTGATTATCAAAATGRGTAATACTTTCAGTTAAGAGAACACTAAATCAAATAAGAGAAGATTCTTCTGTTTTTATCTGATTTAGAAGGAAAGTGGTCTGGGGTGGTCTAAATACAGTTCTAAGTGGAACAGAGTTTTTGTCCATTCGAAGGCCCATCAGAGGATTGAGAGTCCAAGATGGTCCCTTGATAATTTGACTCGAGGTGACCCCTACATAAAGACATAATCTTCTTTTTAARGCATAAAAAAGGGTTATTTTCTTGCATTAATAAGCTTTAAGTCTTCTTCACCAAAACAGATTTGTTAATTTTGCATTAATTTCATGATAGTCTATTTAATTTCTACTGGCAGCAGAAAAGAGGCTTAAGTTATTGATGAATTTTCAGGTAAAGATTTGAAGCAGTGAGCAGCCCTTGGTCTATATGTTGAGGATTACTCTCAACTACTACCACACCAAATTTCAGCTCAAAATCTGCGAATCTGGATGAWTTGGAGCTATTTTTGTTTTTCTCTAGAATTAGCTGGCTGCGGCGGCCATCTTGGATTTGGTTAARTCCAAAAGTTAATGAAACATAAATGTGTATTTAATAGTTATTTCCTGAAAGTTTCGTGAAAATCTACAGAGTGGTTTGTAYGATATTTTGCTAACAGATAGTTTAAAACGTGTGTTTCGCTTTGTTGCTTTTGTCTCCGCCCCCTTTTTTTCATTCTTTTACAGCTGTTTCTTATTGTACGGATACACTGCATGTAAACATGTTTAAAAGTTTATTTTATCTGATACAGTCTGCAAAACACTTTAGCAGCACGAACAGCTAAAATAAGATAAATATATTTACTTCATATAGATACAGCAGGAAAACAAAGAAAAAGCCGAGAGGTGAAGATCCGCTCCGGAGTTTTTTAAAAAAAAAAATCCAATTCTCACCAAGCAGCTACMGGCAGTCCTGGTTGACGGCTCCATGGTTTCAGTAAAACCTTTACAGTTGAGGAGAAAGCGGAGTGTTTCCGCAGAGACAYTCTGTGGATCATGATGCTGCTGGAGCGCCTCTCCCGCCCCCAGACACCCGAACTTCAGGGACCAAGAACAGGCAGGCACTTTGAAGATCCACCAGACTTCTGCAGGTCCACCAGAGATCGGACCNGCACTCTCTGGCATCATGTGGCACTCTGTAGCACCCTCTGGCATCATGTGGCACTCTCTGGCATCATGTGGCACTCTGTAGCACCCTCTGGCATCATGTGGCACTCCGTATCACCATGTGGCACTCTGTATCACCCTCAGTCACCATGTGGCACTCTGTATCACCCTCTGGCATCATGTGGCACTCTCTGGCATCATGTGGCACTCCGTATCACCATGTCCATGTGGCACTCTGTAGCACCCTCTGGCATCATGTGGCACTCTGTAACACCCTCTGGCATCATGTGGCACTCTGTAGCACTCTCTGGCATCATGTGGCACTCTGTAGCACCCTCTGGCATCATGTGACACTCTCTGGCATAATGTGGCACTCTCTGGCATCATGTGGCACTCTGTAGCACCCTCTGGCATCATGTGACACTCTGTATCACCCTCTGGCATCATGTGGCACTCTCTGGCATCATGTGGCACTCCGTATCACCATGTCCATGTGGCACTCTGTAGCACCCTCTGGCATCATGTGGCACTCTGTAACACCCTCTGGCATCATGTGGCACTCTGTAGCACTCTCTGGCATCATGTGGCACTCTGTAACACCCTCTGGCATCATGTGGCACTCCGTATCACCATGTCCATGTGGCACTCTGTAGCACTCTCTGGCATCATGTGGCACTCTGTAGCACCCTCTGGCATCATGTGGCACTCTGTAACACCCTCTGGCATCATGTGGCACTCTGTAGCACTC